CCCCCTCCCCTCCCCTCTAGTGGCCGATCGTGTCTGCAAACATGGAGCGCCATATGGCCCTCGTCCAGAAAGGAATCATTATCTTCACCTCAGACTACACGCCCGGGGCTTCCGACCTCATCTCCAAGGTCAAGGTCGACTCCTTTTTTAACAGAAATAAAAGGGGACAAAGAAGAAAAAAAGAAAGAAAGGAAAGCAATAGAGATTACTGAGGGAGCAATGCTGTTTTGTAAAATGAAACGTAGTCATAAAGAAAAGAAACACACGTGGAAAAGCCGGGAGTTGGGGAAAAGGGTTCGGAGGTGGGTTGGTGGTTATATTTATCAAATCTGAAATGGGTTGGGGTTGCGGGAGGAGTTACTTTATAATTTTATTCGCGAAAAGAAAAGGATTGGGGTTGGGGTGGGGGGGGGGGGTCCCTCACTTTTTGAAAATGGAAAGGAAAAATAGAAGGAGGTGGGCGTGAGAGGGGCCTTCTCAATAACTACTGGATATCCCATTCTGGACACTTTTAGCATAATAATATGATTAAGTAGTCTTCCAAGCTATTAAGGCTAAGTATTGTTCCTCTGGTGAGCGGGTAGTCCTTGTTCCGTACCTTTCTTAACAGGGCTCCGTCTTATCCTTATACCGGGCACCCATTGCGGAAGGAATCGGGCCGGGTCGGGTCGGGTCGGGGCGATCGCCCGACTCGTTGCCTGAAAACAAACGGAGTAGGGCGCGATCGGCTTGTGCCACGATAGCCGTGTTACGCCCTCAGTCTGGCTGGCAAACCGACCCGACCCGATCCCCCAATGGGCACCCCGTATAAGGTTGATTTAAAGTAAAGAGAAGCACTTCGACACAATAACGGTCATATAGTGCAGGGGAAAAACAAAACAGACATTGTCTGCTTTAGTAACGGTAATACGGGGTGCCCACTACGGACAGGATCGGCCGATCGGGCCGATCGCCCGACTCGATCGCCTCAAAAACAAACGTGTTTGTTTTCAGTTTCGGGCGATCGAGTCGGGCGATTGGCCCGATACAGCCGTAGTGGGCACCCCGTTTAAGAGTTTAAAGGTACTTGCAACACAATTAGGTCATATAAATGCCGAAGATTAGACATGTTACAAGAGAGTAACAAATTTTTTTTAAAAGGAGGGATAAGGACGCGAATGTTTGTTTGGAAAGAAAGGGCAAACCACACCAGAGCACCCGCCAAACCACACACACACACATAGAGACAGGAACAACTGAGTTAAGAAAGAAGAGAAGTAAGACCCACCAGTGGCGCAATACTAACATCCGTTCTTATCGTAATCATACATTCTGACGAAATGTACTGTCTGTCGAGCCAAATCGTGCTGCGTTTAACGACACCCCTCTGCCTTTGTTCGTTTCTTTGTTTGAGTAAAGAGAAGCACATCGACACAGTGATGGTAATTTAGTGTTAGTAAAAAAAAAAGTGAAACAGACAGACAGAAACAAAAGAGGGAAAGTAAAGAAGTAGGAACAACCACTGAGGCCCTCCAATTACCTGCACCAATACGTTCTTGTACTCCAGCACCCATCTGTTGAAGTGAAATTAATAATATGTTGGGGGCTTTTCTGCTAAGATTTTGATTAATTTCATTGAGCCTGTAAAACGAATATATCATTTCTAATTCTACGTTTACATAGCGGATACATGTACTCACTCCTAGTCCTTCCCTCCTTGATTCTCTCTCTCTCTCTCTTTCTCTCTGTACATAGCGGATACATGTACTCACTCCTAGTCCTTCCCTCCATGATTCTCTCTCTCTTTCTCTCTCATCACACACGTACACACACAAACACACACACACACAAACACACACACACACACACACGCACACACACGCACACATACGCACACACACACACCTTCTCTCCATCATTAACACTCTTCCTTCCCCCAATCGTTATTACGTTCGTACTTCCATCATTCCACAAGATTGCCTCCACGCCCCCTCCCCTCCCCAATGTATTCACTCTTACTATGACTGCCTCACGTTGTCATTTCCTCGCAGTCATCTGACTGTTGGGGATTGGCGGGTGCCTTTGTGTCTTTCCAACCTCTCCAATCCTCCGTATTGATCTCTCCTCCTTCTCTTATGTGTTTGTTACTCTCTTGTAACACCTATCTTTGACACTTATATGACCTAATTGTATTGCAAGTGCCGCAAAATTTTTACTTAAACAGAAAGTCACCTGACTTGGCACAGGCGTCTTTGGTGTAGCGATTAGGCACTTCTCTGTCGCACGCCGAAAATGTTGCTTCTATAAACATGTGGGTAGGTTATTTTTGTTTTGCTCTGTTTTGTTTGATCAAGTATCTCCTCTCCGTCTGAAATGGTATGTTTCACACCCCTTTCAACACTATAAGGTTGTTGGGTTTTTTTTAGAGGCGGGGCCTCCGAGTTTAACGTCCATCAAAGAGATTCGTGTAAAGTACCTTATCGTCCCAAGGACACAACGTCGGACCGAGCTGAGGCTCAAACCCTCGAACCCACAATCTCACTAGGCTACCGACACCAATCCTCTCTGTCTGTCTGTCTGCAGGGACATTGTATCCTTCTCAGCCCGGGTTAGCCCTAATAGCCAGAGTCGAAGC